CCACCTTTTTGGTGGAAACATCTATCAGAGGCCCATCATGCTTAGAAATGATTTCGTTTTCATTTCTCAAAAGGTTTTAATTTCTGGTGTCCTGTTAATAATGTTAATATCAAAAAACATTACACATTGGCATATAACCTGAGCAATACGTAAGTTTAACTTATGGAAGTAAAAATACTTATTTGTTTACATTTTGACAAATCATTTCACATTCTGTACTTGCTGAACATCGATTATGTTTTAAAACCATCATTTACATGGTATAAAATTCATGTTTACACCTTCTTTAGTAGGAAGAAATGTTCGTTTCTGAAACAAAATGTGCCTCATGTGATTACAGTAAACCGGCGAGTTTTGATAGAAATAGAATCAGTTGTATCAGAAACTGCCATCTTGACATTTTAATAATCATTAGGGCATGTAATTATTTGATCGTGACAAGAACTTAGTAATTATTTTATACTGTCTGTGACAGTATTTTAGGAAATTAAAACAATTCTTGTAGTAAAAGTTGTTATAAATAGCTCGCCGCTTTGGTAATGAATGGGATGACCCAAAACTAACATCAAAATAACGTTTAAAATTAAATAAAACAACCGCCGCTGTGGTGTTGTTGTTAGCATACTGGAACGTCATTCCCCACACGTACGCGCGCGAGAACACACGCACGCACACACACACGCGCACCAACACAAACACACACACTTGTATTGGATAAGTTTGAAGATGAAATCTCTTTATAAATATTTTCACAGAAATAAAAGGTCATTTACTCCAATACGGAAAGGCTTATAAAAACGTCATTTTAGATGACAGACAAACAAATCAAGTGCCCTTCATTATAAATGTCAGTGAATGAAACATTTAGCATTTTCAGCAATAATTATTGAACTTCGTTTAATTGTTAATGCACATTTTTTCCATTTAAGGTAGGAATGCGCATATTCATCACTGCCAGGCAAACAGAGATTAGCATTATGTACAGTCTGTGGGATACTCTAGTTTCTAGTTTCCTGATGCACGAATGATTATAACTTTCAAGGCTAAATATGTTCAAAAATAAAAAAAAATGTTGTTGGGTAAGAGAGGGAAATCGACTATCACTTCCAGTTGACTATTTGTAGTATGGGCCATTCAATCTTAAAGGTAAAAAATAAAAATAGCTGTTTTGGCTTCAAACAAAAACCTCGCATAAACCCAGCAGTGTTAAGTTAAATCAACGGTGATAATTTGATTGAATTCATCCAAAAGCTTCCCCGTAGCTCTCGAGACTTGTGTAAGATATGACTGTGCATTCGTGTTCTATACTGTAAAAATGTATTCTGTATCAGTGGTCAAGTTAGCAACGCGGAAATATTGGCAAAATTCTGAATTGACAAAAATTTGACGAGAAGTTCTGGTGAATGGATTAAAGTTCCAATTCACACTAATGTTTCTAATGTCAATGTTCAAAGAAGTCCATTGATAATGATGTCCGGTAACCAACCGTGTCATTCATGTGCTTTGTTACATTATTACACGACATCGAGATGCCTTTGTTCTAGAATAAAACTCAAGGTCCCTCTTTTTGTTCCTTCTTGCGGAAATTTTGTTTTAAATGGCTAAAAAGGACAACTTATTGTTATGCCCTATGGACAGTTCTAGGTTTTAACTAATAACTTATCTCAATTGTATTGACTTGTTTTAATATTCATGAGGGTCTTTGTGTGATAAGTTTTTCCTGCAAAAACATAAATTAAATAAGGATCAAATTTAGGATACTTACAATGAATGTGAATCCTTGTCTATTAAAAGACACAAAGGTTATTCAGAAAAGTGGATTTTTTAACACAAACAATAAAATGTTTATATTTATTGACAGTTTTATTGACTGTGTGAGTTGAAATAACTTTGATCACAAAAGCCCGATTCGAACAGGAAGATGCTCCCCAATTAGGTTTTTGACTTCTTTTAGTTTCAGAGTTATGTCTCTGGACAAAGTTAAAAGTGCAAAAATTCAAGAATAAGACAAGGCAGATAAACTTTTCTTTGCACTGGAATTTAAAAAAAAATGAGATCTAACAACCTACGAAGTCTCTTATTGATATATGTTATGGTTTCCAAGTTATGTTCCTGAAAAAGTTTAAACTTTTAAAAATGAACAAATGACAAAACCTCCAAAATAAGGCAAGGCGGAGTTACGTTTCTTTGTGCACTGCGCATCTACCAATTGAGATATATCTACCTACAAAGGTTCATGTTAAAATCTCTTATAATTATAGAGTTTTGTCTCAAACAAGATTTTTCTTAAAGGGGAGCTAATTAAAAACAGGACTGAAAAGAGTTATGGGTTATTTTGAAATGCAATTTCATCTAATGATATCTATCTACCTACAAAGTTTCATGTTGATATCTCTAATTGTTAGAGTAATATTCTTGACAAAGTTCAAAGTGTAAAAATGAACAAAGGGCAATTACCTCAAAATTAAATATGGCAGAGTTACGGTTATTTTGACCTACACTTCTACTCATTGAGATTTATCTACCTACAAAGGTTTATGTTGATATCTCGTATAGTTTAAGAGTTATGTCCCGGACATAAAAGGGGAGATAATTCAAAAGCGGGGAAAAATAGAGTTATGGTTCTTTGACACTGCACTCCGCCACTGTGTTAAATTAAAATAAATTACCTTCAAGGTTTTTCAAGTTATGCTTCGGACAAATGAACAGACGGACGGACGGAAAGACGGACAAGGCGGCGACTATATGCTCTCCCTTCGGGGAGCTTAAAACAATTAAAATGTGTCATTTATCCCTATGTGAACACGACAAAACATTAAAATATATTAGATGAACATGAAATCTTTGAAATATAGATATTTATTGATGACAACAATAATACTATCATTTAAATTGACCTAAATGAAAATATAAAGAACTGGCCTGTTAAGAAAAAAGACAACTGGCAAGAAGCCAGTCGCATCCCTTAACTCGAAGAGAGTTTTACGCAAGCCCAAAATGGCTGCAAATGAATGGTGTTACACTGCATCTGTGTATTATTTTCCTTTAGAAGGACCAAATAAAGTGCTTCTTTGTCGAATGTCGGCTTAGATCAATTGATGTTAAGTTAGAGGGTAAACGCAGCGACAATGATATTTCATTACGACCACACTAGTACTCGTTTAATACTGCGACAGGACGGCTTAAGTCAATGCTGTTGATTTTTAGAATTTAAAAGTTTGCGTGTTGTATTTTAAATGCGGTTTGCAAAATCTCTCAGCGTTTTTACGTGTTGTTGTAGTAAAAAGTCGTTTCTAATGTTGTATGCAGTGAAAAAGAAAATACGTTTGCTTTATAATCATTTTTATAATAATGTAAACATTGTTTCTATATCAATTAATATACAGGATTTATCTATTGATGAAGTAAAGCGAGGTCATATGTGAGCTTTTATTTTGATTGGATTTGGTAACGGGTTTGATGCCTTTTATGCCTTCGCAATAAAATGTGAAAAGCCGCAATTAAAGAAAGTTTTAAGATAATATAAAATTAATTTCTCCAGAACGAATGTTTTATTGTTGCCAAAGGTAAATAAATGTGTAGAAAGAAAATATATGACGTTTTATGACAATGCAGTGCAATAACACTTACACTGATGCGCTTTGTTCAATGCAAAACAGATACCGGTACTCTTAAGATGGAGACACATATTAATTGTAGCCTGGTTCCATGTTATTTTGTTCCGGTTAATAACCCATTGCCATGAAATTAGACAATTGTTGAGTCCGTATTTGTATATAGAGATAAGAAATAAATGTATTTCCATTAAAAAACAAAATATCAACAATGTAAGAAATTAAAATTGGTCACGAAGTGTTAAGCCGGTGAATATGAATATCTTTATTTACTTGTACTTTTATGTAGGATTTAAAAATACAAAAAAGAAAATTGTGTCATTCCGTTGAAAATCATGCGGCTTATTCGAAATCATTTATGTAACGATTGCTTCGCAACTTAATAAAAATGCTTTGCAGATTGTAAAATATTAGACGTAAGAGCAATGTACAAAAAATTTCCAATATCAATTGATAAGCCATACAATGCGAGCAAATAAGATACTAATAAACACGCAATGATATTTGGCTTTAATTTGCTCGTTTATATATTTTATAGGTATAGTCAAAACATGGCCATAAAACATGTCCGTGTCAGTAAGGTACCAGCATTTCGAAAGAAACTAAAAGTGAATTTCAGCATAAAGAATAAGTGTACAAAACACTAGCGTGAATGATGATAAGCATTAGAATCATTGTTGATAAAACAAGAATTTTTTATGCTACTTTTAATTTTGCTGAGTCGGCAGCGTTCTTTTATTGAATCTTCTTTTCTTCTTTGAGAAGTCTTTCAAATGTTTATAAACTACTGATAGATCCAAATATTGGTCAATAATCGTGTTCATCTAAAGTTAAATTTGCAATATATTCTTGACAGGGAAAGTTCCATTTAAATATGCATTTCTTTTTAAAAAAATAAGGTTGATCATAAGATTCATCTTTAAGATAAAGATTAAAGGCATTAAAAGCATTGACATTTAAGTAGAAAATGGAAAAAAGGGAGTTAAGTTCTCAAATTCCATTTAAAAAGATAATATGATCACTTTTTTTCCGTTTTTTAAAAACGCAGGTGCAGTGCTGTGTGAATTTTCAGTGTTGATTTTTTTTGTCTTCCCTTTGGGGTCTTTTGATGCCCCTTAATTTTGAGGATTGCTACAGCTCGACCGGTGCTAGGGGCGTGAAGTATGTTGCACGTATTCATTAACCCTCGTGTACAGACTCAATCAAACCAAGTCTGCACTGCTCTTGTAAATTTGTTGTGATTAATGCTTCCGAGGGATCACTTTGTTTCCAGATTGTTTTACTCATGTTTTTGTCATCAATGTTATGAGCACTTCCTCAAAAACAAAAAGAAGAAAAAATAATGATTTTGAGTACACAATGACTTGATATAAGAATTTTTCTCACCTTCCCTACCTGCAAGAGAAACATAATCATCCCTCATGTCATCAGATGTTGGAATTTTCAAATGGCAAGTTAATTCATCACTGCTGTCTGTACAGTCAGGGTACCGATCACATGTCAAACGAAGAGGAATACATTTGAACTCATCAGCACACAGAAATGAATTTGTGCAGGACTCTTCAATTGAAAGAAAAGATGTGTTTATGAAACTTGATTACAGTAATATTCAACTTTTTTGTAATAATCGTAGTCCATAATATTTTTTTCATTTCATATATAATAAGTACATTGTAAATGAAGAGTTATAAATATTTGACTTTGAAACAAAATGTAAGTGTAAGATGAGGATTCTGGCTTCTTCAAAATTTAGATTTGCGACATCGATTTTTGTACCTGAACGCTGTTGGTTCGAAACATCCATACAGGCATTTCGGATTCTTTCATGTATTGAACATTTTCATCCGAATAACCGATTTTCGATGACCGAATATAGGTGGTTCTACTCCAGTGCCTAAATTAATGGATTTGAGCTCTTCTTTAACAATTGAAGCTTGAAAGTCGCCATTCGATCTATACAGATCTGGTAGGACGAACAACCTATCGTTTTTGTCCTTTTATGACGTATACGGATCCTATATTTTAAACAATTCTTACCTTTTTGATAAGAAACCAGTACATACATGTATATAATGATTAACATACTTGTGATTTGCAGGACTTATTTATTAAAATAATGTTTTTCTTAATATTTTACCATTCCTATACATGATGTTGAATGCGATACTTCTTCACGCAATATTTTAAAAACACTGATGATATTTGTAAATCAGTTTAATTAAGGTCAAGTTAGGTAAGTCGTTCTTAATCATTCAACTTGATTTGTAAGTGATACACATTATAAAATGAATTTTCTTAAAGATATACTATGCCCAAATTTGATATTTGAAAATATTGGTAATTACTACATGGTATTTTATGTACATGAAATAAACCTGTTTTGTCATACAAAGCACACTATAAGTGGACACACTATGAAAATAGAGTAGCATATAAATATATGGCAGTTCTTTATAGAAGACCACCTTTATTTTGAGTAATGGACGCAGCTTCCGATACATAGATCATACATTTTTTATTTAGTAAGACAAATTAACCGATCCTCAAGTTGATTTGTTTCGTAATGTAATATTATATACTTACCACAGTTTTCTTCGTCGCTTTTATCCAAACAGTCAGGTTTAGAATTACATCGTTTTTCTGATGGAATGCACTGTTTATTGTCACAACGAAATTCATTTTCATCACACTTTTGGAAATCTGCAAATGTTTGTAAACAATCAATATGCAGTAAAAGTTAAACATGCAAGAAACAAATTAATTTAATTAAATTTGAATTTGACATGTAAGTTAGTTACACAAGAAAGTTTTTTTATAAGAAACACTATTTCCCAATGTCATCCTCGTAAAGTAAACGTTTTGATTATAATTTGAATATGTTTGGTAATAAAAAGAAGGCTGTTATTTAGTAATTTAACCGTTGTTTAATGTAATATAGGGTTAACGCACGTTTTTTCGTGTTATAACGTCTGCAGAGTCCCGAGGGACGTTGGTGCCCGAACCCTGTATAACACGAAATAAACGTGCGTTGATGCTTTTATAGCATAAAATATTTAAAAAAAGATTCATGATGTATATTTAATACAAAACACATAAATTAAATCCTTGAACTTGTACGGTATTTATCCAATTTTACATGTTTTACGTATGCGTTTTTTTTTCCGGGGCCAACTTAAGAAATTCAAATGCTCGGAACCGCTCGAAATTCGAATTTTGTTTGATATAAAAAAGCTTAACATTGGAGATTTATTAAGTCAAGAAAAAAACACATTTAATTACTCTGTCCAAGACAAAACATGACCCTCAGAAATTCCCTGAATTATTTTAGATTGACGGTTGACATCATAATCGTTTTTCTTTTCGGGCAAAAGAATATCAGGCACTAAACATTATTCTCTTAAAGAAACATAAAAAGCATTTATCAACATAAACATCAATAAAACAACATTTTTTCTTATTCATTTTGTGTTATCTTGTTTTGTAATTTAATCTGAGGGTTAAACTGAATGACATTTATTTCTTTATATTGACAACTGTCCGTTTCTTAGAAAGGGCGACAACTAAGATTTATCGGCGATGTCTATGTGCAGTATATCCGTCACAGTAACTTGAATGCTACTCGTCGTTATGCGATTGAGGCCCTCGAATCAATAATTTCAATATAACACTTTGACAAACAGGCCAAATCGTCATTTTTTTATTTTTTTTTTTTGTTGTTGTTTACTGGGCCCTTTATGTATTGCACATAGTAAAACCGGGCTATAACAAGAGCGCGTGACTATGTTAACACATTGTTTTGGTCCTGTTATAACATGGGCAAAAGAGGGAAAAATGGCCGATTTTATGCTTTAAGTATTATTGATGACATATTGCCGTAGGATATATAAGTTTTCAATGTATCACCAAGATAACCCTTATCGGCCCTTTTGTTTAGTTTTTTTTATGAAAGTTTTTATGATGCTTATATAGAAAATGTATTTAACCATTTATAACAATTACCTTAACGATATGCATTCTGTCCATACAAATTTCTTATATAAAACAGCCATTTGTCGTTATTGGCAAGCTGCAGTAAAATATAGTCTTAAAGACATGACACCAAGGAAAGAAATCTAGCAATCTAATGAGTTATAAATTTCCATACTTCTTATTTTACTACTTACCACATGTTTCATCTGTACCGTCCGCACAGTCGGATATAAAATCGCACACTAGACTAAATTTTATACAATGTCCGCCACCACAAGAGAATTCGTTGTCATCACATCCTAATAAATATTATCATTAACTGCTATTAGTGTTAAAACTTACTTTTTGTCCAAAGAGATGACAGTATATTTCAAATTTTGAAAGAATTTATTTTAGTAAATGAGCTTTAAAGAACCAGTGGTACTTACCAGGCTAATCGAATGGACTGATTAATTAACCAACGCTATTCCGCATGTGTACCTTGGAGGCGGAGCTTTAGGGATATTGGTGTTTTGTTTACATTCTTGCGATGCACTAGAGAACAGCTGTTAGTTTAGACGCTCGTCTTATAATATTGTGGACATTTTTTTCATATAAATACATAGGATTAAAGAGAAAGTAGCCGTGAAAACAAACATATGTATTAAATTACCTTTTCTCTCCAGAAACAAAAAATATATACTAAATTGATGGACATTTTTTTTTTACTCCGAGGTTTCAATCTGAACGTTTTAATTGAAAATATTACTGGTTTCCTAGCATTTTGTTTTCTATACAATACAACAGTTAAAATAGTACAGCGATTTATATGTTTTGAAGTTTTGCATTAAAGATCCATTAAAATTTATATATAACGCTTAGTTTATAAAAAAAATTGGGGCAGTCTTTTTAAATTTTAGGTGAATTTATAATTTTTTCCGAAACATTTTCCAATATCAACTGTTGGTCAAACACCATCTAATTTTGACAGTCAATCTCTTGAGATATAAAGTCAATTCAGCTCAACTTGACAATGAAAATATGTGCACTTTTAAGTTTCCGTAGAGAACTTGTGACATTAAAAAAATAACACCTGGGGTGTACTAGCTTGAATGCCCATGTGCAATAACTAAGACCCCATTTCAGGTAAAACAATACTTTGAACAATATATTTCTAGATGACATGGACAATGTTGGGAAGTTCAATCTTTTGATAGAATTAACAAAACTTACTGCATGTACTGGTACCGAAAAGACCCGAAAAAACTGCTATGAGATTTTGAATTAGAATAAAAAAGGTGTTAAATGCTTATATTTCAATGAATATGTAAAGTAAAAGAGCAACATTGAAAACAAGGTAATGCTGGACACTACCTCTATCTTTGTTCTCACAAATTACTCATCCGTAGATTTTACTTGTTAAAGCAGTAAACATAATCCTTCGTCATGAATTCGAATTCGTATGTCCTTATTAACAATTAAACATAATCATTGACCTTCACGAATTAAGTGTCAGGTAAGTGAGATTCTAATTTACATAAGTCGGTAAAAGATATTGACAGGTATGGTTTTTGTATGCCGATCAATATCGCGTGATGAAAGAGGGCGGAGACATGTTGAGAGTGTACAAAAATAATTTAAACACTAAGCCGATTACAATTTATTATTACTCATTTACTAAAATAAATAGGTCGCGCGGCTATGCCGCGCCTGACCAATTTAATTTTTGCAAATACGTACTAATAAACTTTAACCTAGTCTATACTTATAATTGTCCGATAACTATTGCCTGTTAATTATTTTTGATATCGTGTTAGTAGCCTGCTATCAAAAAATGTCAAAACCATTTCAAATGATTTTTTTTCACTTGCTTATATTTTCGTTTTAATCAGCCTTTGAGTTTCTACGATTTTATCTCATACCCTTACAAGTCTCTAATCATGTAATTTTATTATTTTCATTTCGTTTTCAATTACGAATTTAAATAAGATAGCGACTAGTTAAACACCAACTTAATAAAGTGACGTCATAATTATTTCGCAAATGACGTCATATTATAAACATTACAAACATGGAGAACTTGTAAGTTTATGTTTACTTTATTTCGTCAGATTATCATTAATTAAAGTGACATCATGCCCATCCAAGGGTATATATAGTAATTGAAAAAGGTAAAGATCAAAATAAAGTATCATATGCCATAATTCCTTTTAATTTAATAATTAAGTTCGCATAAACAATACAGTATAGAATCTATAACGCACAGATCCATACCTATAACGTTTAGTTTATAAAAAAGTGGGGAAGTCTTATTGAATTATAGGCAAACATATAATTTTATCCTAAGTATTTTCCAATATCAACCGTTGGTCAAACACCATTTTGACAGTCAATCTTTTGAAATATATATATAAGAAAACTCAGCTTGACTATGAAAATATGAGCATAATGTCACGTTGAATAAGTAAGCGAAGAGTTACGTTCACAAAAAAAGAAATATGTTTGTTTATCTTGTGTTTTTTGCTGATTTAAATTTTCTTTGATTTAAACTGAAAATATGGTGAACTTTAGAATATGGTATTTAATGGAAAAAAGTGCGGTACAGTTCGTATGGTAGTTTCGGATCACTGGCGATTCCGGAAAGTAAAAATTATGTGAATAGTGTAGTAGGGATATGTTTGGATCGACGTTGAAATGTAAAAATCTTATTTTATTTATGTATGTTGCATTATACTGCATCTATTATCAAAGGACATAATCTCGAGTCGAAAGAAAAAAAGACCACCAATTACAAAAAAGTTCCAGGGGCGGAGGACGTTGTTGTCAAGAATTATTTCTTTGAACAAAAATGCACCTTTTTACAAAATTCGTTATTTAAAAGTAGATTAGTTTTTACTTTTGACATTATTCATGTATTACATAATAAATAGTAAAACATGCTGCTGTCTTTTGATATCAATTTAATCAGACTTGTCTGATTTAGACAGTCCTAAAGGTCTCGGCAAGTCTCTTCAAAAGAGAGCTAGCATGTTATTCGCTTTTAAAAAAAGTAACATAACAAGAGCCATGTCAACATGGCCATCCCCCGCCGAATGTGTTTGCTCATTGGAAGAATGTATATGTAGTAGAGCGGAATAATTCCATTTTAGGAGGTATTTTGGTAATGAAAACTGATGGCTATAGTGATTACAGATTTGAAACCTATGTGAATACTGATGGCTGAAAATAACAAAGGGCAATTACTGAAAAATAATGCAGGGTAGGTTATCATTCTTGTGTGCTGCATCCCTCCTCAGTAAAATCTATCCACCTATGAAGTTTCAAGTTGATACCTCAAATACTTTTTGAGAAAATAATTGAATTGAAAAATTAAGTATGAAAAAGAACAAAGGGCAATAACTCAAAAATTATAAAAGGTAGAGTTATCATTCTTGTGCAGTTCTCGCCTCCTGAGTGAGATCTATGCACCTATGAAGTTTCATTTTGATATCTCAAAGGCTTTTTGAGTTATGCTCTGGACAAAAATTAATTTTGAAAAATAACAAAGGGCAATAACTCAAAAATAATGAAGGTAGAGTTATCATTCTTAAGCACTGCACTCCTCCTTAATGAGATCAATCCACCTTTGAAGTTTCAAGTTGATACCTCAGCTACTTTTTGAGATAAGCTCTGGACAAAATAGCATGAAAAAAACAAAGGGCAATAACTCAAAAATTGTAAAGGGAAGAGTTATCATTTTTGCGCACAACATTCCTCCTCAATAAGATCTATCCACCTATGACATTTCATGTTGATATCTCAAACACTTTTTGAGTTATGCTCCACTCAAGTGAAAAATTAGGTATGAATAATAACAAAGGGCAATAACTCAAAAATTATGAAAGGTAGAGTTATCATTCTTGTGCACTGCACACCTCCGGAGTGAGATCTATGCACCTATGATGTTTCATGTTAATATCTCATAGGCTTTTGGAGTTATGCTCTGGACAAAAATCAATTTTGAAAAATAACAAAGGGCAATAACTCAAAAATCATGCAAGGTAGAGTTATCATTCTTGTGCACTGCACTCCTCCTCAATGAGGTCTATCCACCTATGAAGTTTCAAGTTGATAACTCAAATACTTTTAGAGATATGCTCCGGACAAAAATGTCGGACGGAAGGACGGAACGTTGGACGGACGGAGACTATTTTATCCTCCGCCAAAAATTTTCGGCGGGGGATAATAAATGAATTTATGAATTCGTATGACATTCCATTGATAGCAGCGCTCTTCGCTTGATGTGCGGGCACGTTTATCATATAACACATATAAATAATCCAAGTACAAAATGATCTCTTTTTAGATAGAGCATTTTGTAGAAAGGGGTATTTTTTGTTTAAAAAATGAATACAAATTCCTCCGCCCCTGAAACTAAGATTTTGTAAATGGCAGCCATTTTTTCTTTTTTCTTTCGACTCAAGTTTTTCTTACCTATAAAAATCGATCCAAATATATCCCTAGTCTATAAATCATATTAATATTTCTGCACTATTTTCCTTGACATGTCAAATTCAAAGCTTAAAATTATATTTTAGTTTCAATCAAAGTTAAATCGGCAATCTATGGTGAAATGCGAAAATGCAAACAAAACAAAGAGACAACAAAGTTGGACTCTCGTGTTTTCGTGTTGTTTTTTTTTTTTCGAATTTTCGAGGCAAAAAAGTGAAAATACGACAGAACAAGGGCGAAAATACGACACACAAAAGCTGTCATATATTCGCATTGCATCTGTCGTGTATTTGCTTCTTCGCATGGATATATTTTCGCATTGATGCATTTTTCGCATTGTTACATTTCATAAAATGTGATTGAATCATTAGAATGTACTTGTGGAAAATATGTTAATCATATATGACCATGATTGCTACAGGCGGATTTACGAAATTGTAAAAATGCAACAATGCGAGTGAAAGAGAAAACATAACAATGCAAAAAATCATAATACAACAATATGAAACTGCGAAACTACGACATAATGCAAATAGACGACAGGTTTTACATGTCGTATATTAGCCTTTCTTCTGACCGTATTTTCTCTTTTTGCCTTGAAAATCTGAAAAAGCGAAAACACGAAGAGACGACAAAGTCAACTTTGACATCCATCCGGGATTTTGCATTTTCGCGTTTTGGAGGCAAAGAAGAGAAAACACGACATGGCGTAAATCAGCCAACATAGCAATCAAACAAAAGCTACACAAACGTGCAGCTTATGTTCTGAACGGAACTTTTCTCTAGCTATTATATAACAACCTGGTGTAACAAAGTAAATATTAGCCTGATTGTAATGTTTATAAAATGAAGTCGACGATGTCATTTGCGAATTTAACTATGACGTCACAATATTAAGTTTGTGCCTTAATTTTCGCTTTCTCAATTGTTTGATATTGAAAACGAAATTAATATAATAAATATCACTTTTTGATTCGAGACTTGTCAAATAAAAATTGTGTATTTCAAAGGCTGATACACAGACACTTGGGATTTGGAGCTCAAAACGCTTTAAAAAATCCAAATAAATGCATTTGCCGTGTGCAAAATGCGCAGCGCTTTTAAGTTTGGGAACCACATAATCGGATGGCTTCGGTCATAGTCGACTGGCACGTTTGAATTTATCGAAAGATAATGTCATTGAAGGAAAACGGCGATAATATTGATATTTATTTCGGCTGTTGCGTTGTTTATATTACCGTTGAAGTTAAAAATTGATCATCATCGTGAAGAATTGTATCTTCTGTGTCAATGGACCAAAGGATTATGTGAAAATATTGGAAAAGGAATAAAATACATTGTGATTATGACGGTAGGGGTGCGGATTTTTTCCGGCGAACAATTTTATCTTGTGTATTATTATAGATGTTGAAATATGAATTTTTTTTTTTCAAAACGGCTTATATTAAGTTTTTTTGATATATATAATCAGTACATGTGCTGGGATTGACAAATATGCATTTAATTTGGATTTTAAAAGCGTTTTGAGCTCCAAACCCCAAGTGTCTGTGGTCCATTGAAATAGGCGAGGTTATTTTTTCTTTCAGGTTACTAACTTGATAATTATAAAATATGATAAAGTGTTATCCTCAGTTACCAAATCAGTTGCATAATAAACTTCATAATTAGTTCGTATTTCAAACAAAACAGAGATAGTGTAAATAAAAAAATTCCACGTCACTGCTTAGACTCTTGATTTAGTATAATGACAATGCGCGCGCATGTGTCTGTGTGCATGTGTTATTGTGCATGTGTTTGAATTAACCAATAACAAAAAATTCATGTACATATGAAACTGACAAAGATATATGTATAAGTAATTATCATCGTGCAGAATAAATAACCTTTACTGGAAGTCACCTATGTTGTCCGTTTTAAATCCGTTCTTATAAATTATTAATGTAAACAGAAAATTTAATTTTAACATGTAAATTAAAAATAAAAATACCAATATTACCGTTAGGACAAGTTACTTCGTCTGAAGCATCAAGACAATCTATGACGTTATCACATTTTGCTAATGTAGATATCAACTCTTTACTATGTTCACAGGTGAAGTATGCCTCTGGTTTGAGTCGTTTGGGTAAATTAGATTGCATCATTGCATTGCCAATAATTGCGAGATCGTGATCTTAAATTAAACACCATTTGAAGCATTTGACTCATGATGGCCAAAATATCGTTCACCTGACTTAACTGGCTCTTAATGAATGAATGAATCCTTGTTGTTAAAAATGAAATGTTGGTACTGAAGTTGAAATGCCGCATGAAGCTTAGGAAGTTATTGGTTAGTAAGGAAAGCATTTGATTTGCCTTTTAGAGAAGAGGGCTATTAAAGAATGAACATTTTAGCTCTAGTTTCTCTGTTCTACTTATGAATCTGGCTTAAAACAATTTACAAAAAATGCTGAACAGGGTCGCCTACGGATTGTTTACCTACTGGTTAAGTTGGAAATGAAATTTAAATAAATTGTGACTAACCATGGACAATGGACACACTTCATTCACATGCCCTGAGCACTTTGTGCTCAATTGAGCTTTTGAAGTACAATGAATCATATGCATTTTTCTCTGCTTGTTTATCAAATGAAATTAAAAGCTTTTCTAATAAGAATTCGATTAACATAATATTATGTGAACAATCAATATAGAAAAACTTATAAAAAAAACTTTAAAGGAAGATAAACAATGGTTATCATAATGTTTATTGCATATGTTGTAAATGGAAAAGCTAATGCCCAGGTTACAAAACGTGCTAATTATCTTTTTTTTTTAATTTTTAAAATAACTATTTTGCTTTTAAATTTTTCATAGAAATGTTATTAGTTGTTGTTTATCACAAAAAAAGATAATAAAAGAAATTGGTGCACTGTAAAACACAAGCACGAATTTATCGTGTTTTTTGTGTATTATCGATTTTGTTATAACATGTTCATAAATATTGTTGTAGTCTTGCTCCTTGTAAAAAGTTGTACGACAAAAGTTGTGGGTATTATGGTGGCTGATTTGTACCATTCGTCTCTTTCGACCCGCGACCCCGTCATGCAAAAAGTCAGGAATTAACAAGTTAAAATGACGTGGCGCATGCAAAGGCACACTTATGAGCATGAATGCGGGGCGAAGTTAGATAAATAAAACTTCGCCCCGCTACCCTGCCTAGATACAACTAGAGAATTTACTAGTTGAAATGGCGGGGACATGGCTTATTAGTTGAGGCGCAGTGCAAACTTAAATAAATAAAACCTCGCCGCGAGAGGATGCACGGAGCGAAATTAAAACAATAAAATATGGATGCATGAAGCGAAAACAAGATTAAAAGTGGGGGCGCGGCGCGAAGTTTCTTACTGTTCAAAAATAAATTGTACTCTTTTCATATACACCGTAGAAACTATACATCATATTTTAGAAAAAAACGATGTGCAAACCTTTTACTCTGTTCTGACATGACAATTCATCCGTAAAGTCTATGCAGTTAAAGGTCCAATCACACCAATTTATTTTAGGTATTGAAGATCCATCGAAGCATTTTGCATTTGCATTTGATATCCTCTTTGCGGGCATAGATAGGCTACCTTCGACTGAAGGGTAAATGAAAAATATATTATATCTAAACATTTTCATGTATTTCAGTCGCTTTGGAAAAAAATAAACAGGGCCGTTAGTGTTTTTCGACATTTTTGATAATAGATCAATGCAAAACTCGTACTCTGTAGTGTCTAAATTGACACATTTATTTTCTTGACAAGTGTTTCAATTTCAATTAACATTTCGTTAACGCTTATTAATATTACCTGACAATTACATTTAACAACACTTCCCGCTACCTAGATGATATTTTTAACATGAATAATCCTTATTTCGATCCATTGGCTTCTTAAATATATCCCAGTGAACTTAAATTGAATAAAACTAACTCTTCATACGTTATTACATCTTTTTTAGATTTAAACATTTCAATCATTAACAATACTATAGTAACTAAAATCTACGATAAAAGAGACGATTTGATTGTAATATTGTTAACTACCCACATTTAGATGGAGATGTACCTCATGCTACATCATATGGGGTGTATATTTCTCAATTAATTAGATTTGCTAGGGCGTGCAGTCGTGTTGGTGATTTTAATGAACGCAATTTATTTATTACTAACAAACTTCATAAACAAGGTTATCGCTATTATAAATTGCGTAAATATTTTACTAAGTTTGACCATCGTAATTCAGATTTTAGTTTTACAATTTAATTGTAATTTAAAAACTCTTTTACGACAAGGTATAAGCAAACCTGACTTCTATGGAGATGTGGTTTACAAACTTCGTAGGATCATGGGTCATAGAATATTTTCTGCCGTCTTCATTAAAATTATCAAACGGTTTATTAAAAGAGGTTATGACCCAATTATTTTAAGGCATACCGCATGCTTGGTGTTCAACCCTTTTACAGTTGGACGCTACACTTTCCTCTTTTGATTACATCTGACGGACCAAGTGGGAGACTCTATGATGGACAGTTCTTAAAGCCCTTTGGGACTGAATTGTCTTAATGTTCGTCTTCTGCCTTGCTTCGTCGGGCCTTTGTAGGTGATTTTCTTGTTGCTCTGCCTTCCTTTAAGGCATAGAGTACTTTGGTAATGGTCATTAGGCTGAATTTTTTTCTACATATTTACATAATTTTGTATGTGTTTTATTTATTTCGTCTAATGTAACCATGACCATTGTTAGAATTTCACTTGGCGGGGATTAATTTTATATACATGTTCGTGTCATTCAGGAACATATTGGGGCTAAGAGTGAGGTTTGGCGCGCCTAAAACCGGTTTAAACTCCCCAGTGGTTTAACTACCACTGACCGTTCCAAGGCGGTACCACTTTGTGTTCCTTCACGTGTTTTTCTTGTCTGTAGTGTTACTTATTTTTGGATGTTTACATGCTTTGTGATGTCTGTCTTGTTGGATTGTCGTTGACAGAAGGTATTTTCTCTCTCTCCCCCCCCCCCCCCTCCACCCCCCTCTCTTCCATTTTTACCATCCCCCTCCTTTGCACCCGTACAGCCCTTTTCCCTTTAATTCCCTTATGGGCCCGTTTTTGTTTTATATTATTTCACATTACATGTCCCACTCCTTTCGCCCTTGTGTCCACTCTAGGTTTTTGTTTGGTGCCTTCTGTGTGTCCTACATGGATGTGTCCGGGGGCGGCGTCCTGTGAACGTTGCCTTTGCCTTGTTGATCTTTATTCTTGTTATTTTACAATTCGTTACATAAGAAAAAAAGTAAAATGGTATTGCGTCATGGGTACAAAACATACAATATCTAGTTCAAAATAAAAAAAAAAGAGTCTCGTCAAGGTATAATAAATTTTATTGTATTATAATTTCTTTTGTCAGACTTATATTAAAAAAAAACTAGAAGGGTTTTTGCAACAAAAACATATGTCTCTCAAAACTATGTATCCTGTAATTTTGTTGGAAATCCCGCTAGCAGTTTATGGGGGTTGCGTTCATTGAACGCCGCCTTTCCTTGTTGATCTTGTTTATCATATTTTGACCTGAGATAGCCAGACAGCAGACATTTTCACACAAAAAATCTTCAATTTATCTTAAGTTTATGACTTACGATGATCGTAAGTTAAATCTTAAATCATTTTCACAAAGCCCCGCGCTAGTTAAATTTTATCTTAAGGTTAATAATTCACTTACGATAAATCTTACAATAAAAACATCCCTTGGTCATTTGATATTAATGTGCATGCTCTGTATTTGTTTCCGGTTTATAATCAAGTAATGATTAGCTTGGAATATGTATTGAACACAATCAAGTTACAGTATGAAGAAACAAATTATTCAAACTGATATATTTTCTATCTTGATTGAAAATAATTGCAATGATCTTAGTGATTCAGAAACAAAGTCTGTTACGTTATTGCTAAGGTATCAATAAATGTAAAGATGCTAATAGTACATGCTGGCAATGAAATTGAACCCACCAAATTGTACAAAACATTAGAATAATTCTTTAGAGTTCACATATAAACTATTCATAACCCTCTCCACCATGACGTCATCAAGTCATGACGTCAGAAATGTTATGTTGAAAAATAATTTTAACTTAAGGTGTGTTATTTATAACATACTGTTTGCTATATTAATATAATTATATCTGTCCATTCTATTTAAATAAAAGATACCTGATGCACGGGGGAGAATCACGCCGTTCGTTACCCAAACAAACAAGATGGCGGATGCAGCCAAAAGAGTAGGTTTTTTTACTTTTTTCTCTAAAATTCGTGATGTTCTAATGTAAAAGTACATATAACAACCTTCTCCACAATTTTCCTGGCACATAAGATTTCACGATGTTTCGTGCATGTTGGGTGCATTTAGAATGCGCGTCACCAGATTCGAAGTGAGAGAATTTTCCACCGGTTTGATCGTGGTAGCGTACGGCTTTTTCTCTCATATTCACTATGTTTACAAGACATAACAGGGTGTGAAGAACCAAATTAAGAAACTGAAATGAATAATATAAGTGTCCAGCTTTATTTGTCATTCAATGAAAGCGCTGTATTTCATAAATATTCTTTGTGCAAATTTTCATAGAAGAACAAAAGTCGATGATATAACAAAGTCCATTCATAGCAGCCTTCTATTTTTCATAGTGCTTCATAGAACCGCGTTTGTGTAAATGGACAGGTATAGTGACGAAATAAAGTAAGTTTTAAACCGTGCACATTCAGAAATAAGAAATATTCTCCGGTCGTTATCGCTCCCGTCGAAGTTTCTAATTTCTGTAGAACAACACGGATCAACACTAACATATACTTCTAAGAGTAGCGTAATAATTTTTAAAACCGTTCCTTTATAAAGATTATGACATTATCTAAGCGCATGGGCGGTCTGGCATTAAAAGTTTCAGACGGGTTTTCCGGCATGGATAAAAACACCGAAATCCAAATCCGATTTGAAACTTTATATTTAACACAATAATTAATAAGCAAATTCCAATGCCACTCTTTTATTGCTGATAACTGCAATACTTTTTTTAAAGAAATTATTGTTTTTGTTGGGGCGTTTGTGGAAAAAAACGCCAGAATATGATAGGCAAATTCTTGCATGTAATTGTTTTGATCAAATTATGACGTTCCTTTCATTTACAATTATGAAATCCCCATTTGATGTGAAGGGACCTTCATTTTTAGGATACGTGTATAAACATATGGTAATTACGTTCATGTAATGTATGTTTTTTGTATGTATGTACATGTATATGTGTGTATGTATATACAAAAGACCTATAAGTTGGTGCTGTAAAGATCAATTTTGATATGAAATTGTCCATTATGTAACTACTTAAGAAAATTTCGGCTGGTATTTACTTTATCAATCAAAATTGATCTTCTCCAAACTTTTTCATGATTTTTGATATTATGTTTATATGACCATTTCGTTATTGTGCATCTTTTATGTCCTCATC